GGTCATATAAACATAAAACCATGGAAAAAGGAAAACTAATATATAAATATCTAAATATTATCAAATGATTAGGACACGATATCAGAATCAAAATCAGAAACCGAAAAATTTGAATTTCTTTAAGGCAATAAAATATACAGTAGATTTATGTTTGTAAACATGGTTGATAATTTCCAAAAAATACATACTTCAGCTAATAAGAAATAATTAAAGACGATATTTATTTATGGCATGGCATTGACACAATTGCACTGACTTATATTTAATTATTTTATTAAACAATTATTCTTAAATTATATTTTACTCATGTTATTTACTTGATTTGAAAAAAATATTCGAAGACTGTATAACCAGCATATATTTCTAGAATATGAAAATCAATTAGTTCAAGAAAATACTACTAAGAGTATCTGATTAAAAACTTATTACATATAACGGAAACAGACATCAGAATAAATGTAGAAAATTTACATCAATTTTTTTTGTTTTCAAAATTAATTAATAAAAATTGAAAAAAAAATCTACCATCTCAAATTATTTGATCTCAAAATGTGTTCATATTTATGACTTGTATTATACATACATTATATATATATATATATAATATTTAGAAAAATTCACATATTAGTTTTGATTAATTATTGAAAAAGTAGTGTATCGTACGTGCTTGTAGAGTTTTAAACAAAATATTCAACGTTTTGTAGTAACACGAGTTTTGCTTTAATTAGTTGATATTGAAAAAAAAATGATATGTAATAATTTATAAAATAATTTATTTTTATTTGATAAACAATCATTTCCAAAGTTTATTTGAAATTAAATACGTGCAAACGATCACATGAAATTACTCTTCAAATATGCAAATTAAAAAGCTAGAAACTCGATTTGAATTGAGAATCATAAAAAAATATTACATGTAACAATTTATAAAATTATCATTATTTATTAATGTATCTTTACCAAATTCCGAATAAATTGAATCTTAAAATTAGGTATTATAAAATAGTTTTGTAAGTAACTTTGAAAATTTTCATGCTGTTCATGTTTCATGGTTCATATTTTGCTTAACAAAAATTTTCCATTCCAGCTGGGTTTAATTATGGTGGCTGTAAATTTTAAAAACTATTTTTGTATAGTTCTAAAGGATAGATAAATGAATTGTTATAAAATGTTCTGAATTTGTTCACTTTCATAACAAATTAAATAATAGAAAATAACTTAAAATTTTATAAAAAATCGCCAGGAGTCTATTGAAACTTCATGAAGTATAATCCAACATAATATATTTAACATAATTTAAATTAAAACGGTATCTTCATGTCGAAAAAAAGAATTTTGTAATACCTTTAAAAATTTTGTTGTTAAATTCTTATTTATTTATTTATTTGGCCTCTTATTTACAATCTGGCCATCAATTAATCTAAAAATTTTATATACCTTTATTCCAATTTATAAAGTATGATCCACTAAGATATGCGTATTTGCAATAAATATTAAATATTTATGACTATACATTTTCTATGTTTGAGAATTTAAAAAAAAATAAAAGAATAAAAATTATTTAGAAGCAACATAAAATTGAGTCCTTTATGAGCCATTTTTCGGTACAGCTTAGAAAATAAATTAAAAATATATAATATTATTTCAAATTAATACTTGAAGATAACAAGTTCCTAAAACATGGCTAATATAAATATTCACAAGTATTAATTAAATTAATTAATCAATAAAATATTTTTGTAATATTGGAAAAATTAATATTAAACATGTCGTATATATTATTATGCATCAACTAAGGCCCTATACAAGATATATCAAAGTATGAATATTCTACTACTAGCAAAAAAAATTATATGTACTAACATAAAATTATATAGTTATGAAATGAAATAAAAACATATGATTTCAAAATAAGTTATAAAATGAAATAAAAAATTTTATGATTTCAAAATAAAATACTTTCTTGTGAAATACTTGGGTGTTGACACCGAAAAGCCTAACTTATTATAATTATAATCTAATGATTAAATGCATAAAAATCCAAAATAGTTTTTATAATTACTATCATTAGCCAAATCAGATGCCAAGAAATTTTTAGAAGCCTCATATATCGAAGATATTTAACAAACTATCATAAAATTATACTATTTTGATTAAATGATCAACTTGAGATCTTGAAATTGACATGAAATTTGAAATTTGCGTAATAAAAATATATAAAATAAATGAAAACAATGAGTCGGTTTAGCAGAGCTTTGCTCAATGTCATTTAAAAAGGGAAATTCTAATTGATAAATACATAAAAAAATATAAAAACTTAGTTACAAAAAATATTTATTTCGAAGGTAATAAAAATTTCTCACAAAGATTTTTTTATTTTTGATGAAGAAATTAATCTTTATTAAGCTCTTTCTTTATATCTGCATTGCATATTAGAATATTCAAAAGAATCTTTAAAAATACTAAATTAAAACACAGTACTCAAAAGCAAATACAATTCAATTACCTGGATTCAATTGACAAATAAATTTACTATTAGAGAAATAAATAAAAAATATAAAGTTATTTATTTTATTAATAACAACTGCTGTTTGATTCATAGGTGTAAAATGCGATAAAAATCATCCAATTAGAAAAATGTATTAAATCCTAATAAAAACAAAATTAACAAAGTTAGTTTTGTTAAAATAGTAGTTAAATTTGTATTACAAAAAATTAGTTAATAAATTTTTTTTGCTAAAAAAATAGTTCTGTACAATTTATGACCAAACGGTCTAAAATGCGAAATTCAATTTGAAATAAAATTGCAGTGGAGTTTTTAAATTAAAAACGCATTTTCTTTAAAAAAAATATTAATTAATTATATTATTTGATATTATAATTCTTGCATATAAAGTTCCGTTATATGGAGAAAGATCAATTTATCATATTTAAGCTCTCGATATATATATATATATATATATATATATATATATATATATATATATATTGCTAAAAATTCATATTATTATCACCAACAAATTGAAAAAACATCATGTAAAAATTTATTCTTTTTCAAGAATGTACTTCCAAAATAACATTAGCAAACATATAATGGTTCAAATTGTATTGAGTAATTTTTTAAAACAACTATTTATTAGTTTACGTATCATTAATTTAATATTTAGATGGTGATCAAACACAAAATATATTTGCACAAAGCAAAATGCTTACTTAAGAAAATTTCGTTTTATAAATAATTAATTTGGGTTTGAGATAAAAAGACAAAAATAATATTGTTTTTTACAATAATTAACGACAATAATAATTCGAGACATAAAGTTTGAGATTGTATAGTAATGCATATTATTAGACTTATTATTATTATGTGTAACGTATAAAAAGATATTTTATAAAGTATTTTCCAAATTAATATGCAAAAACTTTGTAGTTTCTTTGAATATCTTAAATCTTAATTAGAAGTAGAATTATAAGTTTTTCATTTATTATCCCAAGTTGACATCTGTTAGTTATAAATCTAAAAATTTTAGTAGAAGGGCCCAAAAATACAAAATTTCCAATAGCAACAAGATACAACAAATTTTAGCATTGCCTTTATAAAATTAGAATGCTTTGATAAAAAATTGTATATACATAATTATCAAATTCTAATTTGTCAAATAAGTAAATAAGATTAATTAAAAATTATCGCTGCCAAAAATGCTTCACAAATTTTTAATACCGCAAAATTACGATGTTTTTTGAGAAAATCATCAAAACAACAATAGAATGGAAGTATGAGATTGTATTAAAACAAATCAAATAATAATTGACTTTGAAAAAAAAAAAATTACAATGTAAAAAGATTTTTTTTCCATAATTAGAGTTTCGTTAATTAGGTTTAGTTAATTGCATTCATTATATCGTATGGAGTTGTATTATATGAAATGATTATAATATATAGAAATATAAATAACTATAAATAAATTTATAGCGTATAGACTATAAAAATGAATATCTAAATTAGACACACCCATATGACAGAAAACGAAGAAGTTGATTTACTCAATTTTTCTGAAAGAAACAATTATATCTGATTATAATTATTAAAAATTTGAATTATTTATTACAATGACGGGTTCTAAAAATATATACTTACAATAAAAAATAGCATAATCACAATGGATAGTATAAAATCGTGATATTCATCCATATGATAGTGATATAATTTTGAATTTTAAAAATATTTTTATAAATCAATTAATACATAATCCAAAAAAGTAGCGTGAACATTATTTCGAAGCATGGTATTTTAATAAAGTATGATAATAAATAAATATTAAATTAAAAAAGTAATCTTTGAATATATGATACATTATGGTACATTTATTGAATAAGACTCGTACCAATATGATAGACAAAGTTGATTTATACAATTTCACTAAAAAAAAACAATTATGTCTAATTAAAATATTTTTAGAATTAGTTTATACAATGTCGTTTTTTAAAACATCTACTTCAAATTTAAAAAAATAGAAAAATCACTATGGATAGTAGAAAATCGTGATATATTCGAAATTTGAACAATTCGGAAAGTAATTGACACATTATTTCTATCAACAGGATATTAATATAATTTTGGATTATAAAAATATATTTAGAAATCAAGTAAAATATAACCAAAACAAAAATAGTACTAAAATTATTTAAGATGATTAAGTATTGAAAATTTCAAAAAGTAACCACTGAATTATTGGATTAGAATCTCCACGTCCTTCTAACAAAATCTCGGTGGATTTTGGTTGGTTTTGTCAATTTTGGTTTCGGCTCATAATAAAAACAATACTAATAATGATAAAGACCAAATAAGTATTAAAAAATTGAGTACATCAATTCAATTCCCAAACAATCTCTGTTAATCAATGTTAAATAAAAACTAGTCCTACAAATTCGAACAAAAATAAATAGCAATAGGATAAAAATTGATACAAATTAATATCGATTTTTTATTTAATTTTTAGTTGCCAATTGTTGAAAATGAGCAATGTAACAAGGCATATAAAAAAACAACAACCATAGGAATTTCTCAAATGTGCGTTGGTGGAGTTGTTGGGATGGATTCTTGTGGAGGTGATTCTGGAGGTCCATTGCAAAAGGTAAAATACTTAAAATACCTATTAATTTATTTATTTAAATATTTAACAAAAATGTTAACATAATACAATTTTATTTCGGTGTAAAAAAATTATGTAAAATGTACCCAAATGCCATTAGTCAAATTATGTGTGTTATTTATGCAATTACATATTGCTATAAAAATGATGATGAAAAAATACTTCTAATTCTTTTTTCCAGAAAAAATATATTCGTATTAATTTCATGAATTTTATAAAAAAACATTGAAAGGCTATGCAAAATCCTATTGGTAAATTTTAACCCATTATTAACTAGGGCTGATTTTAAAAAGAACCTTAAAGTCATAATTTTAATTCTTCTAACTCGTAAAATGATTCTGGAGATATTTTGGTGAATATAATTTTTTTTTTCAAGTAGAACATAATTCATTATAATATATTTAAAAAATTAATTGCTCTGTGATTTGTATTTGTATTTGTAAAATCTTATAAAATTTATAATGATTGCATATAAGTCAAATATTTATCTAAAGTTTTAGAGAATCCAAAAATTAGAGATCCTGCAAGAAAAAAAATTGTGTCTTATTTTTAAAACAAAATTATTCACATTAATTTGAAATAAAAAATGTATTACAAAAGGACAAAATCTTTACACAAAAAATGCTGAATATTATTAGATTTCAGAAGGCATAACTTTTGTATTCTTCATAATTATTGAAGATAAAAAAGTTATAAAGTAAAAAATCCTTAAAAATTTGATACAAAGTATTGTTTAAATTTAAATTTCTGTACTCTTGTTGCCATCTTGTAATCTGGTTATACTAATTAGCAATATTATCGAACTATCAACAATATAAACCAAAATTATAAATAGTTCAACAATATTTTCGATATCAAAAGTAAAAACTACTGAAGAAATTGAATGCTTAAAATTCGATCATTGTGGTTGGAGTTAATAAAATAATTTTAAGCACAAAAAATAATCAAAATGGTAACAAATATCTTTATTTATTTAATAAAATATTAAAAATTGTGCGCCAAATTATATTTAAAAAAATTAACAACATAAAATTTGCATGCCGATGATATAATTATCCAATTTTAAATTACTTAAACAAATATTTAAGAAATATAACTGTTAGAAATTTTTATTATTACATTAAAATCATAATGTCTTCAATATAAAAATGCTAAAATAAATTTATAGATTTAATACACGTTTTTCATCATGAATAATGCTTTGAAAATAATTGAAGGTTTCGATTATATTTACAATTATAGTGATGGCTAATTTCAATTTAAAATTTGGATACATAGTATAAATATAAAATAAAAATATCAAAGAAAAAACACTGTTTTAGTTGAAAATGAATATTGAACAAATTTTATGAATTAATTCGACAGGCAAAATGTTTTAAAATCGAAAAAAGACAAAAAAAATAGCTATAAATAACGTCCTTAAATAGAATATTAATTTTAATTTTCTGAAATTTGTTATATATAATATTGTAAAGATATTTCTCAAAAATCATATAATTTGAATTAGTACAGACTTCTCAAAATTAAGGATTGAATATTAAAATTTATTGGTGATCTTTTTTATAGACATAAATATTGAAAAATTTATATTCTTTAAAAATGGATGCGTTGCAATAATAGTAATGACTAATATTGTAATTATTAATTGGTAATTTACTATGTGCTTAATTGGAGAGGTATTTAAATAAAATTATTATTTATATTTAATTATTATTTATATAAAATTAGTGATTCACTACAAACGTGATTTTGTAATTGTCTACTATATAATTAGTTAATATCCATATTTATATAGTATAACAAAGCCGACAGAGATCCACAATAAAAATATATAAAAAATTTATTAATTGAAAATCATTGACGAAATTTATAACTGGTAAAAATTTAAAAATAAAATAAATTTTTATTGAGTTCTTGGTTTAATGCGAATCTATAAAAATCAAGCTTAACAAGCAAAACCAGTTGATAATAAAAAAATATACTCGAGTTTTAATATGAATTCATGGGAATTCTTTCCATAAAAAGAGTTATGATCCGATTGTTGAAATTATAAAAGATTAAGTAATAAGTAAATACTTTATAATATAGTATGCAATACTCAATCAACGTGGATGGAAACGATTAATGATTTCATTTGCTATTTTACTTATGGCATTTATTTACTTCACAAAAAAAACTTCTACAAAAAGTTAAATTGAGCGACAAGTCATACAGAAAACTAAAAAAAGTATTCTGAGAAACATGATAAATGTTATTCGAGTGAGATTGAAAAAAAATAGTAAAAATTTATATAAAATATAATATTAAAAAACAGTGTAGTATGTATTATTTTTATTAAAAATATGCGCATGCGTATCTAAAAAAGCCAAAATTAATGATAATTTTCAGACTATAAATCATCTATAGAGTAAAGTTGAAAATATAATGGAAAAGTTAATATTGTTTGGTGACTAATTTATATTATAGTTCATATTATAAAATATTAAATATAGAATATTAAAGGTTTGATTACTAAACCATAAATTTATAAAAAACTACATTCACAAATAAGGAACGAAAAAGGACAAATGGGACTTCGCTCATTTAAAAGATGAGTATAAAAGAATGAACATTCTAGATCCTCCCCCTTCCGTTGGGGCCAGAGGCAAGGGAAAGCGGAGATTCTGCTCGGTATTATACCTAGGCGTTACTGAGCCTGACATACTCATACATAAGACGAATTTGGGATGCATAATGCATTTCCTTCGCTATATAAAAAAAACAATCAGAAGTGAGGAATAGCCATAATAAGGCTACAAAAAATAATCGTTTTATGAAACGAGAAACACGGCAAAAACGTAATGTACATCAATTAATTAACTATAAAGATGAAAGAAAAATGTCTGAGATAAATAATGGAAAAAGTATTTTTTTCCATCATGCAAAGAAAGACTATACACTGTTTGATGGCCCAAAAAAATATGAAGCTTTAATTGAAAAATTTAGATGCATCTATCGTATAAATCCAGGCATAGGACCACCTGACTATCACATTTTCCTATTTTTGCAGTATTCACTCAAAGGCTTCAAACAAGCCCAATTTTTTTTTTTTTTTGAAAACTTGTTTCTTGGTAATAAAAACTGTGAAAATGCTACCTATTTGCTGTACGATCAGTCGAATTTTAGATATAAATAAAAAAATTTTAACCGCTGAATTTGAAATTCCTACTAAGGAATTTTTTTATAAAGAAAGACCATACACTGTTTGATGGCCCGAAAAAATATAAAACTCTTATTGGAAAATTTAGATGCATCCATCGTATGTTCCAGACATAGGACCATCTGACTATCACCTTTTCCAATTTTTGCAGAATTTGCTCAGACTTCTAACTAGGCCAAAAAAACCTTTGAAAACTTGTTTCTTGGTAATAAAAACTGTGAGAAAATGCTACCTATTTGCTGTGCGATCAGTCGCATTTTAGATATAAATAAAAAAAATCTTAATCGCTAAATTTGAAAATCCTACTAAGGTATTTTTTTTAAACAAAGAGCATACACTATTTGATGTCCCAAAAAAATATAAAACTCTTATTGGAAAATTTAGATGCATCAATCGAATATTTCAGACATAGGATCATCTGGCTATCACTTTTTCCAAATTTTGCAAAATTCACCCAAAGGCTTCAAACTAGTCCAAAAAACATTTTGAACACTTGTTTCTTGGTAATAGAAACTGTGAAAATGCTAGCTATTTGCTGTGCGATCAGTCGTATTTTAGATATAAATAAAAAAATCTTAACCGCTAAATTTGAAAATCCTACTAAGGTATTTTTCATATAGAAAGACCATACACTGTGTGTGATGGCATGAAAATTTAAAAATTTTAGTTATATTTTCAAAAGTCATATTTTAAAAACGATAGAAACTTTATTCTGGGTGCAACTGAATTTAATACCATACATAGTATAAAAAAGTTTAAATATTAAACCAGTTACAGTTTTACGAAAAAACGATACAATCTTTATCCTGGATTCATTATACATTTCATTTATACCACATACATAGTATAGAAAAAATAATCATTTATAACTGAATAAGTTTTTCCTATGACTGCCAAATTATCGAAAAAAATTGAAACAAATGATAATAGGAATTAAATAGAGCGAAAAGAAGACGCTTTATCATAATGAAGTATATATAAGAAACCTTATTTAAATCTACTAAAAAAACCTCAAAAAATATATCGTAAATATATTAAATGTATATCAAACAAATTAATGAAAAATGTATAGCTTTTACTAATACATTTCCCACAGAGCATAACTTTTTTCGAGCTCCACAGAATTTTTTCAAGGGATTTGAAATAGTTCGAAAAGAAGCCTTTGAAAACCATGGTATAATAATTAGGCATATTTAGTTTAAAATAAGGTAATTTTACAATATAAACACTTCAGCTAAGATTTAGTAACTTTATCCTACTCCCAATGAAAATACTGAATTTATAGCAGACATATTATAAATTTTTTTTAAAACATTTATAAATACACTGCCAAATTTTCTCAAAAAACAGGTATAATAAGAAGAACTAAATTAGATCGAAAAGTATATGGGAAAAATTACTATGTAATAATTAAGCATTCATAGTTTAAATAAATTCCCTTTCAAGTTTCAGAAGAAATAGTTCCATTTTACTGAAAAATATAAATATCAAATTTATATCGTACATAGTATAAAATATTTATAAATATATCTACTAACTATTATTTCAAGATCTGCATTATGACAATGAAATTAACCAATGCGAACAAAAACCATATAATTGTATTTTACTATATATATATATATATATATATATATATATATATATATATATATACACTCCGCAAAATATTAAAATTAATAAGATAAATATGTAAAAAAAATATTATTGTTTTAAAAAAAACAAATATACAAAATTTAATTTCACATATCTAAGTGCTCTCCTAAGAACAAAACCATAGCTCCTAAAAAATTTATTATAAAAATTATAACTGGACTTTTTTGAGAAAAGTACGTCAAAAGTATTTCGTTTTTATTGAATATCATGGATGATATGAAACAGTCTACAGCTTGTAGAAAACTCTACAAAATTAATTATAAGTATAAATAATTTAACTTAATAGCAATCTGTAAAATAATATTGTTTCTTTTGTAATATTTTATTTTTATTAATTTACATAGACTAGGCAACTAGTCAAAAATATAGTATATTGAATTTATACCAAACAAAGAATAAAAATATTTGAGCAATTATAAAAATCATTTCATTGACTATTACTTTATAACATATTCCAATGTTTGCTAAATTCTTTCAATAAACTTAAAATAGTTCAAAAAGAAGCATTTGAAAAGCACGGTATAATAATGTATCATATTTAGTTTAAAATTCACTTTACACTATACTACTGAATTTTACTGAAAACGTCCAAAATTTATTTTTTTGGTTCAGGAATAATTTTATATAGTTTTGTATTGGTTTATAGCGCAATTTTTTACATTAATTCACTGACGATGCTAAAAACTTTTGAGTTCGATAAAGATTTTTTTAAAATTTGCAAGATTACTATTTAATTTAATCAATAATATTATTAATATAGTAATAATATTATATATATATATTATATATATAATATATTAATATTTCGAGTTTTCAGCAATATTAGTTCGGGTTGTAAACAATTATTTGAAATTTATTCTGCCGATTTTAAAATACCGAAGATCACGAATGATTATTGTCGATCTTTTCTAATTCAAAGTGATAATTATTTTTATTTCTATTATTTTTTGTATAAAATCATCAAACATTTTTCATATTTTTCAAAGACAAAAGTGATGACAACAAGAAATGTAGACATAACTATCAAATTCATTTATATCAAAATAATATTTATTATTATCTAAACGACTATGTAAAAAATTGTAAGTACATTTATAACAAAGTTTGTTAATATAATATTTAGTTATATATTTAACGAAATGTGGATCCAACATCATCATGTTTAAGCTGACAAAAAACGTATATTGGATAAAACAATTACTAGTATTTTTTAACAATTTATTTTAGAAATAAAAACTACAATCGTGCTGATTGTTTTTTGTGGGATACTTTTTTTAAATCTATTTTATATTGAAAGCAGTTAAAATATGTATTATTAATTATATTAATTGTTTCTTTCTAAAAATTAGTTAGTGATTAAAATACCATGTGAAAACTTATTCAATAGATCTAAAACACTTGCATCAAGTTCAAATAATAAAATTACTTGCAAATAATTTAAGAAGCACAAATATATGATTGTTCACATTTATTTTATTCTTTAGATAAACAAAATTTCTTTTGAAGAAAAAAACAGGAGAATTAACAACAAAATATTTTAAGCAGATTATGCAAAAGAAAATTAACTTTATCAACAAAATATAGAAAGTTTAAAGAGCCAATTCTCCGGTAAAATAGACGATAACAAAGCGTTGTTATGGCAACGTTATGTTATACTTGTTTCTTGGTAATAAAAACTGTGAAACTGCTACTATGCGATCCAGTAGTATTTTAGATATAAATCGAAAAATCTTAATCGCTGAATCCATCAAAGATATTTTTTTCAAGTATAAGACACAGAATGATATGTTTTGAAAATAATATACAAATTATTTAAAATTATGTTGCAAACTTTTCGAACTCTATCAAAAATTTGAATATGGCCAATAAGATCGTTTAGAATTATTTCTTAATTTCAGGTAGATTTCATAGGAGATCAACCACCTAGATATTACCTCATAGGAATTGTTTCTTTTGGGCCAAAATATTGTGGTACTGAAAAACCAGCAGTTTATACAAGAGTCGCAAATTTTTTGCCCTGGATTTTGGACAATATAGATCCACACTTTTAATACTGTGACACTAGAATTTCATATTGTATTAAGCCGTATCATAAATCCAATGTATTTTTCTGATTCGACACTGTTACATAAATTAAAATAAAAAAGTCAATATATTTATAGATTAAAATGTTCTGTAAAATATTTATTAAAGTTGTTTACTGATTGTTTTTTTTTTAATTCCTAAATATTTTACACATCTAGAACTTGTTAATTAATAGTTCCCTTAATTTTTCAACAACTATAATCATATAAATTGAAAAATAAATATAGAGTATTCAGAAGCATGGGAATAAAATATGATTATAAATTTTAGAGAATGTTATTATGTATTGATAAAGACAAATATAAAAACATTTTAAAAATAAATACTGCAGGGATGAATTAACAACTTAACGATGAATTTTAATATTTATATAAAATTTTTGAACAAAATAAAGATTTTCATTTTACTATGTATTATAAATTAGTCCCTGTTTTTCTATGATTTTTTTTTCAGTACTGCAATAAAAATTTAAATTATATAATAACAGTTATTACATTATGATTATTTTTAGAGTGTTATTACTATTATTAGAATATTTATTGTATTAACCAAAATTATTGCAAATTATAAAATTATTTATGCTATATTCAATAAATGTGCAAAAATTTACAAAATCGGAGAATACATTTTTCTAATTTCTTCAAACATTTATGTTCAAAATGTTATTTCTATTTGAATTAACAAATGCAATTTAATCGCATAAAATGTTATAAAAACGAGTTAAATAAATATTTATATGTCAATATTTGTATTCCAGTATCTTTTTTAATAAATTTTATATCGAATCGAGTTTTATCTATAATTGGTTTAAAAAATGCAAATTTTACTTAAGTCTATTGCTTATTATTAAAATATGATTCTTTTTAAAAACACGATCTGTGATTTAATTTTTTATTGGTTTAGGTTTAAAATTTTTGATGAAGTAAACTTAAATGCAATCAGCTTTCTTAAACTAATATTTTCATAAATTTATTATCTTCAAATAATTCTTAAAAGTGAGTCTATGTATATCTACATTCTTTTGAAAATAAAAAAAAAATTATTTATTTTATCAGTTTATAAATCATATTACTTAATAAAATTTTCGTTTTCATACTTATGATGAGAAAATATAATTTTAAATTTGCCTTATTGAATGCACTTTATTGAATTAATTTGGTAATCTTATAGTAGAGGATAAATATATAATTTAATGTATATAGTTGTATAAAAATATTTTGCTATCAAAAGTATTTTTCTTTCTGATCAAGACAGAGAAAATATTCACAGGCATTTCAAAATTTTAGATAATTTGTAAATAATTTCAGCAAATGTAGGGAGTATCGCATTTTAACTACAGGTACATTTATAAAGCAATTTTTTCTTGCAAAGTGTAAAAAAGAGTGTAAATATAAAAATAGTGGTATTTACCGGTATCATTACTGCTTCAAATAAAAATTTTAAATAAGTAAGAGCAAAAATCAATTTATATACTAAATAATAAATATATATTAATTTACATTTCTATACGCAGAACATACTCATGTTCTTTTTTAGAACCCCAAATATTAGGCACAAATAATTCACAGATTTTTTATAAATAGTATGGGAAATTATATTTCAAATTAAAATTACACAAGATGAAGGAAGAAAGAAACTTGCAGCTTTTAACTTTTTTTTTAATAATTGTAAATTTTATACAATGAATTTAGCAATAATGTTTTCGAACATAAAAAAATAAAAAAATGTATGTGATTGTCTTCAACAGATGATTACAAATAATTTAAAATATATGAACTTTAAATACTAAAATATCAAAAAAATGAGAAAACAACGTATAGAAAATGTATTAGATACTGTAAGTTAATGAAATATTGAGTACTACTAAATAGAAAAGCAAATATTATATATTGGATTATTCAATTTATGACATGTTTAATTAATAAATAACTTGCGTT